GTCACACAGCTAGTAAGCAACAAAACGATGTCTGTCACCAAATCTGTCTAGTCAGAGGCCTTCTCACTGGAGGACATTTTACACACACACACACACACACACACACACACACCCCAGAGGACATTTGGCAGTGACCGGAGAACTTGGTTGTCGTGACCGGGGAAGGGGTCCTACTGACATCTAGTGGGCAGAGGTCAGGAAGGCTGCCGAACACCTCACCATGCACAGGACGCCCCCGAGGACCAAGGACTATCTGGTCCAAACGCCAACACTGCAGAATGAGAAACCCTGGCCTAGCACTTCCCCTGAGCATTCTTCACCGTGGCCCCCTTCTCGACTCCCCCGGATCTAAGAGATCTGGGATCCACTTGCCCAGTGGTTTCAGGAAGAGGCAGCTCTACACCTACCCGCTTCCAGGTTAGGTACCAGGGTCAGTGTTCAAGCTACGGATCTAGCAGCCACAGCCCCCAGGTTCCCCCTCTGGCACCTTTAGGGTCAGTCTCCCCTGCCCATCAAAGGGAGGCTTTGCTGTGTGAGGAGAAAATGCCTGTCCTACTGCTTACTGTAACCCAAAGCCTACCGTCAGTGCCCAGGTTAGGTTAGCTTCCAGATGTGGCCACAAGATGGCACTCTAACCCATCGAGAATGCTACAGCTCGGAGCCTGGGAGAGCACCATATGCTTTGCACCAGCCTGGATGAAGGCCTGGCGGCTGGCCTTGGGCCAGTTCCAGAACCTAGCAGGACTAGATCAAAGGCCTGCAAGTGCCAGGTGTGAGGACATAGGCCAAACTTGGCTTCAGGACTCCCCCTTTTTCTAGTGTAGCCCAGGTTCATCCTCTCAGACAGCCCCACCACCGATCTTACTGTAGCCCAGCAAACCCTCCCCTCTAGTTTGAACAAAAGAAATTCCAGAGCTGAGGTGTTAAGGATATAAGGATTATTACTATTCATATACAACAATAAAGAAATCGAGGCTTAGAGGAACTGAGTAATTTGCCCAGGGTCACAGCTAGTCATTGGTGAAGCTGGGATTTGAACCCAGACGGCCTGGTTCTATGCTCCTAGCCGCTGAACACCACAACCTGTTTGGTAGTGCGCTGCCCCCCGCCCAGGCTACTGATCCCAAAGACCACCGTATGGGACCGCAGGACCTCCTCCCTGCAGAGCAGGAGGGAAATGGCTACGAGGAAGGGCAGCACTGCTCAAAAATGGAAAGGAGTGAGGTTCTCAGCTGGGCTGCGGGTCTGTGGTTAGCGGTTGTGGCTGAGGAGCTAGGGCTCCGTCAGCAAGTCCTCCTCTCACTCTCGTTTCTCTGGGGCCTTTGCCCTTCTTTTAATGTGATGCCTTCTTGGTTTTTCTGGGCTTTCTGCAAATGCCAGCCTTCTTACAGTGTGAAGAGGAAGTGAGAAAAGAGACTTTTACATCCCTGCTTGGGATAGAGAGGGTGGGGGACATTCTTTGAGGTCTGGGCTGGGAGCGTCATGAAGGACGAAGGTGAGAATCCTAAAGTGGGACAGTGTGGAGCACCTGAGAGGCAGTGACCCTCTCCCACCCGGGAGGCTCTTCTCAGTGAGCCTTCTCTGCCAGCCTCACAGCAGGCTCTGGGGTGTGATGGATGCCCTCTGACACTCCGCTTCCCTCTAACCACGACCCGCCTCTTTCCAGCACATCCTCTGGGGCCAGGCATGGCCAGAGCTCCTTCCCACATTAGGTGCTTGTCTCCTCTCTCTGTCTCTCCCCCTTCTTCTCTCCACCATCTGGGGCACACTTCAGATCCCCATTGTGACTCACCATGGGGTGGGGACTTGAGTGGGCTCTGTACTTACTCCCTGAGAGACCCCGGTTAAGGCCCTACCCCTGACTCACCTCAGCTAAGGGCTCCAGACTCCTATGGCCTCTGATACTGGGATGTTAGGACCCTGACCCCTCTCCTGGCCTTTCTCAAACCACCCAGCCTTTAATGAGGAGCTCCTGTGTTCTGGGCACTGTGGAGGGAAGCAAACGAGGAGCATTCCTGGAGGAACCGATAGTCACTTTTTGGAGATGAGCTGGAGAAGGATGGGGAGTCGTACTTCAATGCCATGTGGCTCTACAGGAGAGGGAAGGGATGGAGCCCTGGAACCCTGTGGCTGGCAGAATCACAAAAGGCTTCCTGGGGGCTGAAGAGCCGTGAACATCTGGCTGGAAGGAAGGGAATGTTTGGAAAGGCCTCTTTCTTGTCTCTTCCCATCTTGATTTCTCCCAGCCAGGTGTATGTGTGTATGTCTCCATCTCTCTGTCTATCTTATTCTCTTCCCTCTGGGGTACTCATTTCTCTGCTTTATCACTTTCTTGGATTGGGGCAGAGTTCTCCTAGAGCCTGGGCCCAGGAGGTCTGAATTTGGGCCAGGCTGAGGCCTCTTTATGATTAGGGGTTAGTGCTTACCGGTCAGAGTGAGAGGAAAACTCAAAAGCACTCTCACCCTTGCATTACTCTGAGACAGCAGGGGAAATAGCTCCCATTTAGAGGAATAACACAGACCAATCACTGGAGTGAGGACTGGCCCCACATTCCAGCCTTCTCTTTAACTCTGCCCATCACCACCTTGTTTCTGCCCTGACTCTGCCTCTCTCTGTCCTGCCTCTTGTCCTTCTCTCTCTCATCTCTTGCTCTGCCCTTGGCCTTTCTCAACCATCTCTACTCCTCCAAATCTCCCTCCCACCACACACAGATTTCCCTGGGGCCGGGCTGGGATTCCCCTGGCCAAGCGAGGAGAGAGATGCCTGCAGAACAGCCTGTGTCCCCAGGCTCACAACAGTGTCCACAGGTCAGTGTCGAGGGACAGCTGTCTGCACAGTTAGCAACTGCCGACAGGTAAATAAGAGCCTCGTGTCTTCTTAATTAAATCGCCCTTTGCTCAGGCAGTCTTGTGTTCGATTGAGCTAGGCTTAGATCGATAAGTCTCTCTCCCGGCACAGCCACCCCTGGAGCTGGTCCTGACCTTCTCAGCTCTGTCCAGGCCCACCTGCCCACCATCCCACCCCCTACCCCACCCCAGCCCGTGAGACCCTCCAGGGCAGGGTCTCTTGTGCTCCTGTGCCTGGGACAGAGCCTGGAACCAGGAAAGAAGTGATTGCTCAATTGAGTAAACTGAGGCAAACACAGGTCAGGAAGGCTTGGAGACCCCAGCTGTAAGCCCCACCCTGACCAACCGTCATCTTTGAAGCTGTGGCGATTACAGCAGAGAGCTGCTCCCATCCAGCCCTCAGGAACGGGATCAGCTTACCAACCAGGTAGCTGAAGTTCTACAGGGCGAGGGGCAATTGTCCACATTCAGAACCATCTTCTGACCTCTAAGGGCAGAATGCCCTTCCCTTAAGGGATCTCCATTTAAGGATCCAGCGCTAGTGTGGGAGGATCAGTGGGCGGGATCCACGTGGTAGAATGTGTGGCACTCACAGAAGACTAGGGTCAGGCTGGAGTTTAAAGGTCCCGGGGTCAATAAGGGGTGGAAAGAGGTTAATAAACACCCAGGATCATTGGATTGTTAGTAGAGAGCTTAGAGGACGGCATGTGTGTTGTATGTATGGGGGTGGAGGGAAACTTATTTGTGGGTCTGTGTGAGAGGGTACCTTTGAAAGGCTCCAGATTCCATGACAAGAGTCAGTGTTAAAGGACTGCTTGCAGCGGCCAATACAGGTCAGGGTCAAGGTGTCTCTCGTACCGGTTTCGGTTCACTAGAGGATAAAAGAATCCCTAGTTTCAAAAGAGAGGGGTGTGGGCAGACGCCTTTTCACCTCGGTCTGACTCGGGGACGCTGGCCTAGACATCTCCCAGGGCCCTCGCGCAGCGAGTGGCACTCCCCTGGGGCGGAGCGTCGGCGGGTCCCCCTGGAGCTGCACGAGCCCCGTGGGGCGGGCGCCCCCAGCGCCGGGGTTGAGGGAGGCCCGGCTGTGCGCGGGACTGGGAGGGGGGCGCGGAATCAGGGCTTTTTAGGACCCAGCGCGGCACCTCCCTCCGGGGGCGAGTGCGGCTGCGCGCGCCGTGTGCCCGTGTCCGGAGAGCAGCGGGCTGGACGCGGACCGCGCGAGCGAGCAAACCAGCAAGAGAGCAAGCCAGCCAAGCAGCAGCCCGGGCGGCAGCAGCGGCGCGGCGGCGGGGGCCGCTCCGCGCCTCGCTTCCCCGGCCTCGCCTAGCCGCGCCCCGACCCACCACCCCCGCCTCCCAGGCCCGACCACCGCAGCCCCCCTCGCTTCGACCGGCAGCGCCAACCTCCTGTCTGAAGCGGGGCGCGGAGTGCGGGGCGCAGAGGCACCGGAGCCAGTGCCCGCTGACCCAGCAGACCGTATCCAGCCTGGAGAACCCCTGCCGGGCCCCACACAGCTCCACAGCAGTCCGGGAGCTGTCCCTTCAGCACTGCAGCCGGAGCCCGAGCCCGAGTCCGAGCGCAGCCCAGCGGAACCGCAGCTTGAGCCCGAGCGCACGGGGCGCAGCGCTGCACGGCAGCCGCACGGAGCAGCGTTCCCGGCGCCCCTGTCCAGGGGGCCCGCCATCTCCTTCAAGAGGCGGGGAGAAGGAGCGAGGAGGGCGGGCAGGCGGGCAGGCGCGCCCGCCGCCGGGGGGAGCAGGCAGCCAGGCAAGGAAAGAGGGAGGGGGCCGGAGCCCGCCCTGCGCCCCTAGCTGCAGCCCGGCCACGTAGGGAGGGAGGCAGCGGGCATCCATCTCCCCCGCGTCGAGAGCGCGCTGCAGCGACCACCGCACAACAGAGCTCGAATTTCCTGGCCCCTCTCCCTCCTCCCCCTTCCGGGGACTGATCTATCTGTCCGGCCCTGGGTGCAGCTGACCTTACCTACCAAAGCTTTGTGTCGATTTCTACATTTCCCCGCTGAGATGGGGATGGGAGCTCGGTCCCCCCACCCTCTTTTCCCTCCGCCAAGGTCTCGCCGCTGAGCGCCGCCCCCCTCCCTCCCTCCCTCCCCTCTCTCCCGCCCTTCTTTCCTCCTCTGCCTCCTCCGCAGCCGGACCAGCTCTCTCCTACATCTGGCGCCTAGAGACCCTTGGGATCCCGAGCACACTCCCCTGGACCAGCACCCGACAGAAAGCACCCTGAGGGGCTTGCGTTGCTCTTGCGGTTGCTAGAGCCGCGGTCCTCTGTACCCCCCGACGGCTGGGGGGAGGGGGGAGGAGGCTGCGCGCCCCCCTCCCCGGCACCAACTCCCCCTGGCGGCTGCTCCCATGGGTGTCGCTGGGCCGCGCCATGCCTAAGGGGGCGCCGCGATGGGCCAAGGGGACGAGAGCGAGCGCATCGTGATCAACGTGGGCGGCACGCGCCACCAGACGTACCGCTCGACGCTGCGCACGCTGCCCGGCACGCGGCTCGCCTGGCTGGCAGAGCCCGACGCCCACAGCCATTTCGACTATGACCCGCGTGCCGACGAGTTCTTTTTCGACCGCCACCCGGGCGTCTTCGCGCACATTTTGAACTACTACCGCACGGGCAAGCTGCACTGCCCCGCAGACGTGTGCGGGCCGCTCTACGAAGAGGAGCTGGCCTTCTGGGGCATCGACGAGACGGACGTGGAGCCCTGCTGCTGGATGACCTACCGCCAGCACCGGGACGCTGAGGAGGCGCTCGACAGCTTTGGCGGTGCACCCCTGGACAACAGCGCTGACGACGCGGACGCCGACGGTCCTGGAGACTCGGGCGACGGCGAGGACGAGCTGGAGATGACCAAGCGCCTGGCGCTCAGTGACTCCCCTGACGGCCGGCCTGGTGGCTTCTGGCGCCGCTGGCAGCCTCGCATCTGGGCGCTCTTTGAGGACCCCTACTCATCCCGCTACGCGAGGGTAAGTGACAACTTACCCATCAGAAGATGGGGCGGGGGTGTATTCGAGACCTGGCACCTAGGGAGTCAGAACTGAAAGGGGTGCGTGCAGCGTGTGTTTGTGTACACATACGTGTTTGTGTGTAAGAGAGGGGATGATTTCTTTCCAGGGTGACTAGTTCTGTACGTATGTAAGGTCTGCGTTTCCAGATTTAATATGTATGAGCAAGTATAAATGGGTGTGTTTGTGTGTGTAAGTAGATTGTGTGTGCCTATTCATGTAAGTGTGGCTGTGTATATATGGCTGCGTAAAGAATGTAGTGAGGATTAGTGAGCATGTGTATATGTTTGAGTGTGCAAGAGTGCTTGTGCCTCATGTTTGTGTCTCTGCAGATGTGCATTGTGAAGGTCTGATTGGCCCTTTGGATTTTGGTGTGGGGAGGGAGGCTGGGCACCTTTCTTCTCCCCAGGTAAGGGCATCTGGAGCTGCCAGGGCCCACAGACAACGACTTGAGGCCTGGCTCTGCTACTGGAGGCAGACCCCTATCCTCAGGAAGCAGCCTCCGGCCACTGGGAGGAGGTGGTCAGGGGGAGTCTTAATGGCTAGTCACTACAATAGCTTGGTAGGTGGTGCAGGACTGGGCGGTGGGGCTGTGGGTGTGATTCCTCTGAAGCCGGCTCCTGGGAGGGAGCCTGTTCTTCTTTCTTGTCAAAAGGGCAGAATATTGGAGGGGCCTCAGGACTTATGCCTCTGGGGCCTGTCAGGAGTGAGGGGGGGCGGAAAGGGGGCACCAACAAGGAGAGGGTCTGTGAGAAGTGGGTGTGTCTTCATCGGCCACTCCCCTTTCCTGATAGCCTCCTGTGCTCCTTACACGGGAGGAAGGGCACCCAGCTGCTGACCTTGGCCCCTCAGGTGGCCTCTTTGGATCAGTTTTCTCCTCTGCAAAATAGGAGAGGGAGGTCTGGCAAATTCTGAGGGTTTTTTGCTACTTAAGCCCAAAAGGGAGGCAGTGGTAGCAGCCACCTACTTCGGAAGACATACCCCTTGCCTTCACTGGACTCTGTCCTCAGGCCTGCATGGAGCCTAAGGCATGAAGGGAGGGTCAGAGATAGGAATTTAAAGGAGAGCCCCTCCCTCATCCAAACCCTTCACCCCCGCAGACCTCTGCCTCTGCCCACTCTCCTTGCTGCTCTGTTCCACACGCCTTCCCTCCTGCCCACTAGAACTGGGAGGGAAGGCTGGGGCAAGAGCGTCTGCCCAGTTGCTGAGGATCAGTGTGGGAAGGGGCCTTGGGGCCACTGAGGTTCCCCATAGTCAGAAAAAAAAAAAAGCTGTGTTTAGGCACAGGACTGGTAGATGTGTTACTGAAATAAAACACTCAATGTTTAAGCATCTTTTAAGGAGAGAGCAGCAGGTCAAAGTGTTATATAGTAAATCCTAGAATAAGATGTGTATGGAGGGCTAATAGGAAGAGAGCTGACCCCCTCATTTTGCCACTGAGGATCCTGCCCAAGGTCACAAGGGAGCTACAGGCTAAGCAGTACCAGAACAAAGTCCCCTGGAACCTCATCCTCCTTAGAGGTGGCCACCCTGGGCTCAGCCTCAGGGCTCTGACCTTTGTCCCTGAGTTTCAGAATTGGCAGGGGTCACATGGGGCACATTCCAGCCCCCTGCCCTGTCCATCTGCTCCCACTGGACATTCCTAGGCGCCTGGGTGGCCGTCACCCGGTGCAGGTACATGGGCTGGCTGGCGTGGTTTGCAGTCCTGTTGGTGTACACACCTTGTAGAAAAGTCCCGATCCCACTGAGTGTCCACACAAGAGCAGACTTGGAGGGAAAAGCTGGGCAGTAGAGGGGGTGGGGTGAGTTAGAAGGTGACCCCTCCCAAGCCTGTCTGTGCTGCCTTCTTTCCCCAGGAGCCCCACAGAGACGTTCCAACACCCTTGGGTGACAGATGAGGACACTGAGGCCCCCAGGGGGAGGGACCTGCCCAAGGGCACACAGGAAGTGAGGGCAGAGCCTGGATTAGAACCCAGGCTGCCTGCCGCCCTCTGGCAGGCCTAGCTGCATTGCGCTGCCTCTCTGCGGCTCATCTGCGCAGCGACCAGCCGGCTGCCCGCCCTCCCTCCCCCTCCATCTTTGCTCTGCCGCTGCCGCCGTCACCTTCGTCTACCCCTCCCCCACAGGCCCCAAGCCTCCTCAGTCTGGTGGGCCAAGATTTACATTTTTATTGTAGATTCTAGACCATAGTCCTGTGTGTGTGTGTGTGTGTGTGTGTGTGTGTGTGACATTGTATGTGTGAAAGGAAAGCTGTGTGTATGAGAGAGTGTGTAAGAGACTCTTCAAGTGTGTGAGAAAGACTATATGAGAATAAAACTGTGTGATACTCTGAGTGTGGTGGTGTGTGTGTGTGTGTGTGTGTGTGTGGTGAGACTGTGTGAGGTTCTGTGTCTGTCAGAATTCCGTGAGTGTGAGAGAGACTGCGTGCTCTGAGAGATGGACCCCGTGTGAGAACGGGACTGTAGCGGGGAGAGCGCATATGTAAGAAAAGGAGACTACATGTGTGAGAGAAATACTGCGTGTGCCCGTGTGTGTGTGTAAGAGATCCTCGAACGAGGTGTGAGTGCATCGACGTGTGTGGCAAATGGGAGACCGTATGTGACGCTGTGTGGGGGGCAGGGAACCCTGTGTTGCTGTGTGGGCACGCATGTGACATGTGACAGAGACCTTGCACGGCCTGGGCGTGAGTGTCCCTTAAGGAGGACGAAGCTCCGGACCGGCTTCCTGCCTGCTGCCTCGTCCTCCTGGGGCTGCCGAGCTGCCCTAGTGAGCGGTGTGGCTCCTCGTTTCCCGTCCTCAGCAGGAGGGCTCTGGAGCCCGGCCTGCTGTTGGTGCGTGGGCCCGGCGGCGGGCCACCTCACCCAGGCCTCAGCGTTGGCTCTGGGAGACAGGGGCCACTTGGCTGGGCGGGAGGTCCCATCTGAACTCTTCAGGGGCGACAGTGCCAGCCGGAGCAGCCGGTCCCCTGGCCCCTCTCTCCTGGGGTTCCAGGGTACCCGGGCTAAGAGGACACAGGGTGGGGAGATGAGCTGTGACAGGATGAGCCCTGCTTGTACTCTGGGTGCAGGGTGGCGCCCCAGACACACGTGACCGTGACCAGAAGAGGACAATGGTGCTGTGTGGTGAGGGCTGTGAAGGGGCTCTCTGGGGCTCTGAGGGTAAGAACTGTCCCAGGGGAGGTGATGCTGGGCCGGGCACTGAGGGGCGAGGAGGAATTAGCCAGCCAGGCCAGGGCAATAGAAGTCCTTGCGTGCAAAGTCATAGAGGTGAGGGAGCAGGCAGGGCCGTGTTGGGGCGGCTGGGCAGCCCCGACTTGAAACCTGCCCTCCTCCCTCCCCTGGGGGCCAGTGCAGGTCTGAGGCCCTTGGCTGTTGTTGGTGATTTGCATGTTGTCATTGGGAACCTCATTCTGTGTCAGGCCAGCGGAGGTCCCTGTGCTAGAGTGTCCTCTGTATGTGTGTGTGGTGACATCTGTCTCCCAGAGTCACTTGATATTCCAAAATGTCCATGGAAGCCCCACCTCCATCTGCCCCCACTACCCACCTCTCCTCCAGCCCCAGGTCTTTGTCACCGTGCTTTGTCCCACTGTCCCACCTCCACAGGACCTGATGTAGTGCGATGCCTTCGCAACCCCCCGGGAAGGAATTCTCCTCGCAGCAGGGATGACGAGGTCACCCAGAGACTTCTGTTTCTGCCTTTGGCACCAGGGGACACAGGGCTCTTGAGCTTTGCTTTGGTGTGCAGAGGGGTGGGGACAGGGCTGCTACCAGGGCCTTTCTAAGCAGCTTGCCCCCTCAGCTCAGAGCCCACTTCCCCAGGCCAGGGCCCCGGGTGTGTCACAGTGACATGTGATGGAGACCTGTGAGCAGCAGCAAAGGGTCTGGGTGTGTCCCCACCCCAAGTGCTCCCTGCCACAGTGCATAACCCATTCATCGTATTTCCCATGATGCTTTACAAGTGTCCTCGTGTGTTTGAGTGGTCCCTCCAACCCACCCCCCAGCTCCCCTCCTGGTAAAGAAAGGCACAAACCCAGCATCTCCCAGTCCCGGTCTCTCAGCCGCTTCACCTCTAAGATGGGCGTAATGATAGAACCCACCCCAAGGGCTGATGGAAAGATGAACCGAGCGATGTGTGGAGAGTCCAGAGTCACAGGGCCTGGCATGCAGTAAGTGCTCAATAAATGTTGGCTGCTGTTATTGCTCCCGTTGGTTGCAGGGTCATTTTACTCCATGACTCTCTAGACTCCATCCTTGGAGCTCTGTCTCCACGCCCACCATCCCGCCTCTGGCCGTTTCCCTCGGGCCAGCCTCTCCACCAGCTTCCTGACTGCTCACCCCCCACCCCTGTCCCTGCACCTCTAGTTCTTTCTCCACTTGAGAGGTCTCTCAACTCACAAATCTGTCAGATCACCTCCTTACCTGCTTAAAACCCTTCAGTGCTTCCCTGGCCCATAACTGCCAGCCTTTCCAGTCTCTTCTGGCCTGGCTCTCCTCCTCCCTCACTGAGCTCCAGCCACCCTGGCTTCATTTCAGTCCCTTGCATGTGCCAGGTCTGCCTGCCTGCCCCAGGGCCTTTGCATGTGCTGGTCCTTCTGGAGCACTCTCCTCTTCACACCCTGCCTCAAACATCAGTGCCTCTGAGATGCCTTCCCAGACTCCACAGGCTGGGTCAGGATTCAGAACCACAGTCCTTCCCTTCAGAGAAGCTGTCTGGTTTGTAATAAAATGTTCATTAGCAGCCTTGCTCTGTTCAGGTTTGTCCCTACTCTGACTCTAAGCTTCTTACACATACAGTATAATAGGAGCTATTATTATGAGAGGTGAGGAAGCTGAGGCCCAGAAAGGAGTGCTTTACCCAAGGTCACAGTCAGCAGGTTATTTGAGGGACTGGTTCAGAAACTCAGGTCTCTAAACCCCTACTCGGTAGCCTGCAAGCCCTCATCCACCTTAAGACACCTCAGG